TATATATATATATATATATATCTATCTATCTGATATAGTTGCACAAGTATATGTTTCATATAATAGTTATTAATTTCATATAAATAATAATGAATACCAGCAATTATATATCATCTTAACGCATAGATACTAGTTTGTTTATGCCATGTAATATTATGCTAACATGATGATTTTATGACATTTAGTACAATACTATTACATGATAAATCATACCGCCTATATTGTTCATACAAAAAGCCTCAATGCATTATATTTTATATATGAATTGTTTGCTAAAAAAAACCTTAATTATTGCAGGAATTCTTTCATAACAGGTTCTATTGTATTACTTAGCTGACCACAATTGCAACAATAAGGTTTTCAGCAATAGTATTTCATATGACATGTTTAAGTTTATGTTGCAGTTTGTGCTCTTATTTACATTGGATTTGCATAGTATTTATTTACATAGCTATTTATTTTATTAGTTTTGTTATTTCCTTGTTGAAATCTTATTATAGACTCTACTGATGCAATAAAATATTATTTATTTACATTTGCCTACTTTTATATTTTTTGCATATAATTACTTGTATATGTTTTTTTTTTTTTTAAAGTGAGTAAAATACAATTTTAATCTAAGTTAACCTTTGAATTTTATTTCAAAAATTAAGATGAATCCCTTCATCATATCTTGTCAGAGTCCACTTTCTTTCAAATCCGAGATTCAACAACTAATAGAATGCCAGCATTGCAACCAAAAAATGTCAACCATGACACTTAAGCAGGTTTTGTTCTTGCTTTTATGGCAAAATACCATCATCGTAATGCTACCTTAACATTTACTTGTAGCCAATACGTTGCCAATCAACAAGGGAAACAAAAGTAAAAAAATTAGCAAAAGTGCAATTTCCCATCTAGAACAGCTTCGTACGTAAATTATTGCAAAACAAACAACTGAAAACCACAGTAACTCACAGATTATAGCGGTAAAGCATCCGGTATGCCTGCTTGGCAGGAAGCTTCGCCATCCCATCCGCATACTCGATGAAAACATAATCCATGGGCTCCGAGGAACTCTTTGACACATCATACTTGATTGCCACAAATCTCCCAATGCCCACCTTCTTATGCACGACATAATCTCCCGGTTCAAGCGTATAAGGATCCACCTTATAGCCAATCCTGCCGTTGTTCGCAGCGTCTCCCTTGAGCTTCTGAAGCCCCAGTTGCTGCTGCTGCTTCACCGCTTTGATATACTTCTCCACCTCGACAGAATCCAATGAGTTATTTCCTGCCCTCAAACCCTGCCTCTTACCAAACTCTTTTCGTATTCTCTCGTTTAAGATGGAAATGTCGTCAATATCAGAAGGCGAGTCGCCCTTCTCCTTCCAAGGAGCCGCTGCAGTTGCTTGGGAAACCTCCATGTAGACAGCGTTCGTGCTGACTGAGAAATATGAGTTCCAGTCCCGGCAGGGGCATTTCGAATAAGGCAGCTTCGGAGGAGCGAGCTGAAATAGGACTTCCGAGAAGGAGAACTTGAATGAAAAACGATGATGCTTGGGCAGCAAGTTTGGGAGTGGAGAAACTCCGGCGGAGGTCATCGGCGCAACCGATTGGCTCTATCGATATCTGAAAATCACCATTGGAAAAAGTTGGGAAGATCGAGGCTTTTGGGTTTTTAACGAGGGTTTAAGGGATGACTGTTTTGTGGACGGAATTAGGATACGGAGGCGGGCGAGATTATGCGTGCCGTTGGTTGATGGGTCTCCACTAATTTAAAAATGTTGTATAAGTTTATTATTTATTTTTGTGTCTATAATTTAAATTTTTATAGCAATATGTATAACATTTAAATCTTCAAATTGCACCAGATAGTATTAATTTTACTTTTTAAAATGCATATTTTAATATCATTTAGACTTTACAATGGTGTATAAATATTATATAATAGAAATTGTTTTTCACAATAACTGTTTTGATATTATTAAAGACCTCTTATGTTCAATATCATCATTTTGTTGTGAAAAACAATGACAGTAAAATAAAAAATGGAACGAGAAAAGTTACACGCAGAAGACGCAAAGATTTACGTTCTTCGGCAAATTTGTCTATGTTCACGGAGCTGCAAGGATTTTACTATTTCGAGGAATTACACCGTCGAGCGCCTCAACGTTTATAAAAAAATTTCTATTTTCTTCTTTTCATTCATCTCTCTCTCACGCTTCATCTCTTCCTCTCTTACTCTCTTAGAGGGCTTTGTTTGTGGCTCCATGACAAGTCATAAGAGGCTATTTATAAAAACTATGAGAGTGGTAAGTGAGAGGTAAGTGAGTCGTAGGTAAATGTGGTAGGTGAGCGGTATGTAAGATTTTTAATTAGAAAGCTAATTAAATTACGATGAATTAGATCTCCACATCACCCAACACCTTTGTTAAGTACATTTAGATACAAACACTAAACAATTTAGTCTTTAACAAATATTCAAAGAATAACATATCACCATTAGCTAATGAAATTAATCTTAAAATTGTTATAAAACATCAAATTTCAAATAAATTAAATATCACTGCAAAAAAAATAGAATTGACATGTTATGTAATTCAATGAATCAATTGTTAGCTTTAGCTATGTTGAGATTAATATCATTAACTTTGTTTTTATTTATTAAGCATCAATATTGAGGGTGTTTGCTTGTAAATAATAATGATTTAGAGAGGAGCAAATGGTGATTGTAGAGCATCTATATTTGTTGGCCATAAAAAAAAAATTATATAGTGAAAGGAAAAAGTAACGTATCAATATTATACGAGTTTCCACGTGCGTCTGTCTGGATGAAATAAATTGAGAGTAACTCAAGATGATAAAATATTTCACGTGAAAACTCAAATACGAAGAAAATATCAGACTTAAATTATTTAAAATTTTGCATTTGGTGTATGTTGGATGTTAAAGATGATGCATTTTTATTGCAATTGAAAAAAAACATTATTTAATATATTAGACAATAATTTATAAGCATATATGTATGTATGTATGTATGTATGTGTTTATATGTATGTGTGTGTGTGTGTGTGTATATAT